GTGTTGCGGCAGGGCTGCGTGTGTGTGTGCCTGCTGCCGTGGATTGGAGTGTGTGTCGTGCGTGGTGTGCGGCGTACGGTGCATGCCTGGCTGCTGCCCTCTCCTCATGTGGTGTGCCCTCTGTGTGTGTCTGCCGCACCTCTCGTCTCCCCTGTTGCTCTCCATGTCCCTCACTGTGCAGATCAGCTCCACACCACTGAACCACCACACTCACGATGATGACGACGTGCCGTCTGCTGTGCGCCCTGTTGGTGCTTGCCCTGTGCTGCTGCCCGTCCGTGTGCGTGGCAGACGCTCAGCCTGAAGGTGATGTTCAAGGTTCTTCCAGTACGATAACGGCGACTAAAACGCGGCTACCAGACCCCAATGAGACGGCCGACCCCAAACATAATTTACTTGTCTCTCCACCGCCTTCACCACCAGATCCATCACACCCGACGGCCGGTTCGACAGGGTCGCCAAGTTTGGGGTCCGTTTCGGAGCAGGGAAACGTTGGCGGATCGGGACCAGGTGTGACCGCTGGGGAACCGCAATCAAATGTCGTGACCAATAAGTTACAGCCAGAAGGCAAGGACGGTATGACAGGAAGACAAAATGGCACTAATACATCCGCAGATAAAGCAGCTCAGGAAGCCAAAGATCCTGCCGAGACCACGACGACGACGACCACAACAAAGGCACCGACTACGACAACCACGACCACTACTGCGCCAGAGGCACCAAGTACTACGACTACAGAGGCGCCAGCTGTGTCGACCACCCGCGCACCGTCACGTCTTCGCGAAATCGATGGCAGCCTCAGCAGCTCTGCGTGGGTGTGTGCCCCGCTGGTGCTCGCCGCATCCGCGCTGGCGTACACCGCTCTGGGCTGAAGAGGTGTGTGCGGGCTGTGCGTGCCAGTGTTGCGTGCGTCTTTTGCATCTCATTTCTCGCGGGATCCGTCGCTACTGCCCATATGAGTTCACTGCCATAAGGTGAGCTGGAGGCACTGTATCCGATGGCGAACGTGCGTGGCTCATGCTGCGACGGCCCCGCCTCTTTTTGCACAATGCAGCGCAGCTGGGATATCCGCTGCAAGGTGGCGGTGCAGTGCTTGGAGGCCGCCGCATTTAGCGTCAGTCACGGGTTGAGATCTACGTCAAGAAGCTTCGTAGTGTGTGACGACCCAATGGCCGTGACTGGAATCTCGCAGCCAGTGACTGCCAGGGGCCATTTTCCTTCGCGGTCATAGACTGACTCCGTATGCGTGGAGAGTATGGACCAAGCGGCTTCGCACTTCGACTGGTTGGTGGCCATGTCATTTTCCTGACTCCACGCATGCAGTTGTTTGAGAACCATGCCGGCTGCGGGAATGGCGAATTGCCGAGACTGTCCCTCGATGACAATAGAGAGATCATCCGAGCACATGTCTGCTGCGACGTCTGAGAAGCTGTTCAGCAGCGTGAGGAGCGGGTGTGCGTGGAGGGAGAAGATATACGGTCCCAGTACGGATCCCTGAGGAACTCGTCGCAGCTTGGGACGTCGATCACTGAGTTTATTGGCCACTCGTGTCTTGCGTAACAGCCACACAGAAAGTTTCTAAGCCACCTTTGGCGCTTTGCCCCGGAATATTGGCCAGCAAGCGACTGAGGACTCGATGATCCATGGAGTCAAAGGCCTTGCTGGAGTCTACCAGCACCAACAGGGTCCGATGGGGTCCGCAGTGGAGTTGAGTGCCAACACCGCTCTTCTTGGGAAGGTTCACTTGGAAGTAATCGTTTCTGTTATGCTCAACTTCGTGTATCAGGTGTGCCAGCTGCATCGTCGTGGTACGCATACTACGATATGCATACTGGTGGGGATGAGGCGTCCACACCCAAAGCAGTCTCCTCAATACTATTTTCTCAGCGACCTTGCTCACGATGGATATAAGGCTGATGGGTCGACATGAAGACATTAGTGCCGGCAGCCTGCCGGGTTGCAGGAGTGGGACGATGGTGGCTTGTCGCCACTGGACCGGAATCGTGCCGGTCGTCCAGCTGTGGTCAATGCAGCGGAGAGGGAATCGGAGACGCTTCGTCGAAGGATGTCGTGGTGCCTCGCTGTAGACTTCGTGCGGTCCGGGGCCTTGCCGTACGGTGCACTGCGCAGCGCAGAAAACAGTTCCGTTTGACTGAAATGGGCATCAAGAGGGGTGGGGGAGAGAGCCTGTCGCAGATGAGGCGGCCGACTCGTTGTCGTTCAGCGGCCCAAGAAGGGAGAGAGAGAAAAAATGTTCAAGGACTTGTTCTGTCCTCGTTGATCTTTGGAAAACCCAACCGCTCTGCGAGGGAGTGATATGGGAGGAATCCATGATTGAGAGCATCCGCTGCTCTTCGTGCTGCCCTGAAATTATTGTGGCCATCGCCCATTAACGCTGGTGTGGGGGATGCTGGTGATGGTTCCCTTTTTCGTCCCGCAATGTCTTTTCAGGAGAGCGGTTCGCCTGTATTCAGCGTGCTGATGCGCCGTGGATAAGTGTTGCGCAAGCGCTCTCGGAGTAGGAGGAAAATTTGACTCCTTGTCCGTTGGATCTCCGCCTCACGGTCGGGCATTGGCAGCCGCAGACAGCGGGTCTTGCAGTCGGCAGCAATCCGTTCCGCTTCCGCAAGGATGCCATCCCAGAGATTGGGACCGTCCTTGTGCATGCCGCCCAGTCAATGCTGTTGAAGTGAAACTGCAGGTACTCGCGTGAAATCTTTTACGTCGGTTGACTGCTTCTTATATTCGTATACTGAGATGTGTTCGTCGAGATCGTTGGCGAAGGACTCCTACTTGCACTTCCCCAGCTGTATAAAACTCGGCGTACCGAAGGGGGCGCCGAGGGGATGCTGTCGACGCATGCTTGGTACAACGTGAAGGTGAGCATGTGGTGGTCACTGAGTGGCGACACATTGGCTCTCCAATCCGACACGGCAAGGTGCCTTGACCCTGTTTGATCGGTCCAGGATTCCTTTCGTCTGCCACGGACATGCGTGATCTCGCCAGGGGTGTCAACCAAGGTGAATCCCGCATCCGCGCACCGTTGTAAAAATTCTACGGCGACGTCGCTTGGAGGCGTCTCCAGGAAGGACTCCCACTGTGGGCGATGCGCGTTGGAATCTTCGCAAAAAAGGAGCGGTGCCGAGGCCGGAAGGCGGTTTAGTAACCGCCTAAGGGATTGCGATATTTGCAGTGGCACTGGCATGTAGGCACCCGCTACGCTGAGGCCACGGTTCTGCTCCAGGGCGACTTGGACCACCACCATTTCGAGGCCGGAATCATGTTGAGTGATGGTGAGGGGTGTATGCCTGGAGCGGAGAGTTTTCCGCACCAGCACCGCCTTTCTTGCCGATACGCGCTTGTGCATGGAGCACGTAATCCCCAGTGTGCATGCTGGCGATTTGCTTCGACGGCTTTCGGATCACCTGGATGGCTATCAATGTCTACTCCTTGTGCCCTTAAATTTGCAATTTTGTTCGGCGTGAGAGAAGAGCCGTCCATCTGGAGTGCTGCTATGGGGCCTGGGTGCTGCTCGATGCCTCCGCCTAGCAGTAGCTTTTGCCGTTTCGTGTCGCGTACGGCACAAAAACAGTATGTGTAGCGCTGGTGAGCACCGATGGAATTCGGCACCAGGCAAAACGCTCGTCCGTCACACTGTCCGCGTCTCACGTGCTGCGATCCCCACAGCTGCCTGCACAGTTTGTGCTTGCGTGCCCCCTGGTGACTGGAATATGGATTGGCCATTCACGCCGTGTGCGCCTGACCCGGCCATCCGCGACTGTTTGCCTGGCATGGCCCCTGGCCCCGGCGGCGTATTGAGTGCGTTTCTGCGCCATCTTGTACCCGCTGCCCGCTGCTCGCACAGAAAGATGATCAACACCTCCCTCGCCGACGGCATTCTGCGAAGTTGCTGGGAAATGGGGACACCACTCCCATCTGCAGACACGGAGGGACACACGCCGCACCGAGAGAGTTGTCGGCCACTCACGCTGCTCAGTGTCCTGCTAGGGGTGAGCGAAGGACTGGTCCACTGCCGCCTGTCAGCACTGCTGGCACACCACCGACGTCAGCCTGGATCCACGCCACGACGCACGGCCTCGGAGTTGGTGACGCCTGTGAGTGACGAAGCGGCACGAGGGCTGAGCGGGTGCATCGCTGTGGAGTGCGAGCGTCGCAGGGGCGTCATCCCGCGCTGCACCGTCGCCGTCGCCGCTCTCTCGCCGTCCCGATCGGCATCTCGACTGCGTTCGACACCGTTGGCGATGGGCGAGTGTTGGCTGTGCTCTGCGGGCTCCCGCGCCTGGGCCGTCGCGCCCAACGCTGGTAGCGCAATCGCCTGCGAGGCGGCTGCGTTGGGGTGAGTGCTCGCGAGCAATATTCCCGACAGCAGCTTCCCTCAGCCGTGGCAGCTCAATGCAGCGTTGTGCGGCCGCAGCTCCTCCACCGCCACGTGGATGGACTGCTGCGCCGCCTGGACGGCATTCACTTTGCTTCGGCGTTCATTCACGCTGACGACCGCACGCTTGTTGCGTTGTATGCGGACCTCCGTGCCTGTGGTGCGGCAATGCCAGCTGCCGTGTCCGTTGTGGCCGCATGGGCTGCCGGGCACAGCCTGAGTATCAGCGCCGACAGTAGCGGTGCCGCTCTGTTCTGCATCGCCTCACACCGACAGTCTGACGAGGACACGGCCGACCATCGTCTGGGCGGTGGGAAGCCACGCGTCAATCCCACCCTGTGCGTCTGCTCGGCAATGCGATTGATCGACACCTCAATTTTGTTTCGCACGTCACCGTCGCTGCAGGGCAGACCGTGCCACGCGTATCAACGAAGGGTAACTCTGTCCACCTGGCCGCCAGTCCAGCACCGCTGCGGAGGATTGTTGGGTTCTGCGCACCCACACGGCACGAACGCCTCACACGTCTCCGTTATATTGAGGACGTGCGTGGCGCAGTATGCTCGGAAACCACACCTTCGTCAATACCTGGGAAGGCAGCGACGACCATTCTGCTGCCGGGAGATGCCGTCCTCAAGGAACTGCGACGCGTCCGCAGCCGCATGAGGATCTCCCCGGACCACATCCGCGTCCCTCATGCTGAGCACCGAGTTTTCGCCCGGGACACTGTGAGCTGCAGCGGGGTGGGCATCTTCCGGCCACGGCACGCCAAGGACGCCCTGGACGGTGTCAGACGATCGGTCCTTGAAGCGGCCTGCAACCCTCTGGGGCCGTATGACGGAGGCCGCTGGACGGACGGCGCGTTGTCTCTTGCTGAGCATGCATCCGGATCCGCTGCACTGCCACTTTACACCCCGGACAGCCGGGCTGCTTGTGGGGCCTCACCGCACAGCTGCTGGCAGCCTTGCATGCACCTGCCGAGCGGAGTGTCCTGCCACTGAGCATGGCCTCGGACAGTTTTCAGTTCCCCGCCTGGCAGCAGCATCCCAATCGCCCACAAGAGTTACTGTCGCCACAGACTCCCTCTCGGCGATGGAGTCACTCCGCCTTGGCCCGCTGGAGGTGCACGACGACGTCAGCGAGGAGATTTGTACCGTGCAGCTTTCACTGGCGGATTGAGGTCACACAGCTGGCTCTACATTTTCCCATGACACTGCGGAATCCCACGCAACGTGACAGCGGACGCTGATGCCGTCATGGCACGATCCCTCTCGCAGGACTGCGTCACTGCCTGGCACGTGGAGTTCGCCACTGCAGTGAAGCGACGGAACTGGAAGGATGTCCAGGAGGAAAAGGGAGCCGCGCACACCGCGTGACAGGCGCCTGTCGGTGTGGCAAGGACTCTGTTCCTGGTGTTGACCCGGACATCGGTCCCCGAGTGGCGGCACTGCGCACAGGCGCGATGCGACTCCTGCCCACTCTTCGACATGCCTGCACGCACCCTGCAGATCACAAGGAATCCTCCGTGTCGGTGGTGCCGTTCCTCCCTCACTGCGGTGACCGGCCCGCCTCTGCCTCCGCCGAAACCTCTTCCCGACGTGAGCACCGCAACTCCTTGTCGACCGGCGAGCGGCGGATTGACGTCCTCCTGCCCAACCTGCGGCAGAGTGCACTTGTCCGTCCACAGTATGAGGGCACATGCCGGACGTGCTCAGCCTGGCGTTATAATAGTTTGCGAGGGCCTCCCATGCGGATGCCACAATGGCGCCACCGTCTTCCTAACAGGTGCCTCACGCGCAGTTCGCCATCGAAAATGCCAAGCATGCCAGCAGGCAAGACACGCAGGAAGCACAAACGCGGGTACTCGAGATGGACCAGGCTCTTCCGCCACCGCCTCATCACGGACGCCACGGGCTGCTGATCCCCCGACGGACCACGGGAGACTGTGCCTCATCCACTGCGGGAATGCCCTCGTCGTTGGGAACTGGGACTACGACTGTTTGTGACTACCCCAGCCCGCACGACGGCCCGTTTGCGACGGAATACTTGCCACTTTTGTACGGACGGCCCTTGCGCTACTCACTCGTTATTGTAGCAGCATACAACCAAAACAGGATAACAAGTTGCTTTGTGATGAATATTGGCTGCACTTCCCGTGGACCAACAATCCGCGTGGTGTGCGGGGATCTCCTTTTTCATTGTTACTTTGCTTTTGTGTTGCTGTGTGCGCTGCACCTTCTTGTGTGTGTGCGCACCCTCCGTGAGGGGTGCAGACACGACGGACCGCTCTCGCCGTATGTGCATGCGGTGGAGCCTTGTGTGCCGCTCCTGTTTGCTTCTCCCTCTTCCATCTGTGTGTTGGTGTTGCGGCAGGGCTGCGTGTGTGTGTGCCTGCTGCCGTGGATTGGAGTGTGTGTCGTGCGTGGTGTGCGGCGTACGGTGCATGCCTGGCTGCTGCCCTCTCTTCATGTGGTGTGTTCTCTGTGTGTGTCTGCCGTACCTCTCGTCTCCCCTGTTGCTCTCCATGTCCCTCACTGTGCAGATCAGCTCCACAACACTGATCGACCACACTCACGATGATGATGACGTGCCGTCTACTGTGCGCCCTGTTGGTGCTTGCTCTGTGCTGCTGCCCGTCCGTGTGTGTGTCAGAGACTGAGGAGATCCCTGTTGTTCTTGAAGCTGAAGATGAAGTTGATGGAAGAGGCACCGGTCCAGCGCCCGCTGCACCAGGAGTACCATTGAATCAGAATCAAGCTCAGGCTGAATCTCCTGAAGCCGCCCCCAGTCTACCGCCCCCTCCACCAGCAGCACAACAACCCCGGCGGCTAATGCTATTGTAAGCGCCACCAGTCAATCGACCCCGGCATCAGATACCAATCCGACCCAAGATGTAACGATGACGACCGCGACGAGGAGTAAGACACAGACCCAAGGCAACAAGACAAACTTTGGAGTTGAACCTAATGGAACCTCCACCAGTGTACCGTCCCCTCCATCAGTGGCACCACCACAGGGTACCGGTCAGCCAGGGTCGTCAAGTAATGGGGCCGCTGCGGAACACGGAAATACTGCCGGAAATGCAGGGAGTTCGCCCGGTCCGCATCCGCAATCAAGTGGTGCGCATAATACGGTACAAAGAGAAGGTACGGAAGACACGTCAGGGACAAAAAGTGGCACGAGTACATCCACAGAACATGCAAATAAGAATGTCGACGATCCTGCCGAGACGACGACGACGACCACAACAAGGGCACCAACCACGACGACCACGACGACCACTGCGCCAGAGGCACCAAGTACTACGACTACAGAGGCGCCGGCTGTGTCGACCACCCGCACACCGTCACGTCTTCGCGAAATCGACGGCAGCCTCAGCAGCTCTGCGTGGGTGTGTGCCCCGCTGGTGCTCGCCGCATCCGCGCTGGCGTACACCACTCTGGGCTGAAGAGGTGTGTGCGTGCCAGCACCCAACCGCGGGGATTTGTGCGCGTGTGTGTAGTTCACTGTATAAAATAAGATGAAATAATGATTGTGTTTTGCTTTACTTGCTTCTGCTGCCGTGCTGTGTGCTCCGCGTTGTGCCCCGCATCCGCCACGTTGAACGCATCGCGGACACACTCATAAGCATGCGCACTGGAGCCCTGGGTTTGGTTTTCTTTTTTAATTTCTTTTTTTAATTATTGTTTTTTATTGCTTTTTAAACTTGTGGTTTGCGGTGCGGTGTGCGAGCTCTGCAATCGTACTGATTCCATCTGTCTCGTGGTGTGTGCGCTGTTGCTTTGCTGGGGTGCTGCCATTTGTTGCTGTGCGGTGGCTGTGCGTGGTGTAGCGGCTGTGACTTGTTTCTTTTTGCTTTTCCCCTCTGTTGACGGGGAGTTACTTTTGCTGAAGGCTACACGTAAGTGACAGGAGTGGTGGCGATGATGATGACTGGCCGTGTGCTGCTGGTGTGTGCCCTCTGCGTGCTGTGGTGGCGATAGCGTTACGGGTGAGTATTAGCTTTTGCGGTGGCATGCTCAGCTGCGGAGGGAGTGCGCGATGGATGGCCGCAGAAGGACAGGAGGAAGGGCGAATGCGTCCGCCGTGGAGGAATGCGTGCGTAATTGGATGGCCGTCGTCGTTGGAGGCGCCAAGGGATTGCTGTTGCTGCTGACACCGCTGAGGATAAGGGGGTATGCTGCAATCCAATGAACACTCAACGAGATGCGTCACCAGCCGCGTAGATCGCCTGCCGTTAGAACGAGGAGAAGACAAGGCGGAGCGCCACCAGCGGCACCGGCAGTATGTGGAGGATCAGCGGGATGGCGTTATTTGCCGCCCGAAATGAAAACGAATGTGTCGGAGTCACACGGCGCATTGAGTGGTGTTGGACAGCGGGAGGAGTCAACTGTGAATGGTTCAAAAGGCAAGGCTCAGATGCTGATGGCTCCTGTCACGGTGGGGCGCCTGGAACTCGCGCCCCAAAGGGATTGAGCATTGCCCTCTTCGGATGGCAGTCGCGCCACCGGCAGTCCGGAAAACGAATCCGCTCAGGATGAAAAGTTGAAAGTCGCTGAGTCATCGGAGGGCGGTGGGACAGAGGGAGGAGCCCAGCCCCCAACACAGCCTGCCATTGGGGGGCGAAAAGGATCACAACCAACAAAAACCAGCCGCAGTACCGGGCGAACAAATAAGACAAACAGCGGGGGCAGGAACCGCCGCAAGGGGCAGAAGGGTCTGACAGCCGACATGAAGTTTCATGGCCAGAGAATGGCGAGGGTAGCGCCAAAACACGATGTGGGTTCAAACACAACTTCTGCACAAGTACCGGGTGATGCACCACAAGAAGAATCGGGAGGAGAAGTTGCAGTAGAAGCAGCTGGTGGAGATGAGGCAGAAAGGAAACAAGTTGCAGCACACCAAGACACCGTGCAGCATGCACCATCTCCCATTTACGAGAGGCCATCGCAGTCATCGTCCTTTTCAGATGGCAGCTTTGCTGCATTAGATTGGAAGGAGGAATGCACCGTGCAGGAGATTTCCAAACAGCCTCCACTTTCTGACGCTGCAGAGAAAATAGAGGACCGCCAGCGTGGAGACAAAGCGCCTGCTGCCGAGGCTGACAACAGCATCGCATTTATTACAGCTGCAGAGTTTAACGCCGCCGCCAGCAGCACCACGACCAATCATAATGCGAGCCATCTGAACGGAGAGAACGACGAACCCTCCACAGAAGAAGTGGAGAAGTAGAATGCAACAACAAAACCGAAGGCACATCAGCCGGCACAGTTACCCCCGCAGCCCACAGTGAGGGGTTCAAGAGGGACACCGCCACCGCCACTAACAATGTAAACACAGCTTTGCATGGCGACAGTGACAGCAGCACCGTAGTCTCCCACATCACCTCCCTTTATTGTTTCTTGTTGCGCGTGCAGCAGCTCCTGTTGTGGTGGTGGCCGGGCCTGCATGACGTTGAGTGCGATGAATGTGGACGAAGGCATACGGCAACTGAACTGTTTTTGTGATGAATATTGGCTGCACTTCCCGTGGACCAACAATCCACGTGGTGTGCGGGGATCTCCTTTTTTTATTGTTACTATGCTTTTGTGTTGCTGTGTGCGCTGCACCTTCTTGTGTGTGTGTGCGCACCCTCCGTGAGGGGTGCAGTCACGACGGACCGCTCTCGCCGTATGTACATGCGGTGGAGCCTTGTGTGCCGCTCCTGTTTGCTTCTCCCTCTTCCATCTGTGTGTTGGTGTTGCGGCAGGGCTGTGTGTGTGTGTGTGCCTGCTGCCGTGGATTGGAGTGTGTGTCGTGCGTGGTGTGCGGCGTACGGTGCATGCCTGGCTGCTGCCCTCTCCTCATGTGGTGTGCCCTCTGTGTGTGTCTGCCGCACCTCTCGTCTCCCCTGTTGCTCTCCATGTCCCTCACTGTGCAGATCAGCTCCACACCACTGAACGACCACACTCACGATGATAGTGACGTGCCGTCTGCTGTGCGCCCTGTTGTTGCTTGCCCTGTGCTGCTGCCCGTCCGTGTGCGTGGCAGACACTCAGGAGGCCACTGAAGGTCAAGCTGATATAAACCACTCCAATCTGTCGCCTGTTTCACCTGAATCTATGGCGGCTGCACCTAATGGAAGCGTCACCGGTCCAGCGGCCCCTGAACCAGGAGGAATACCAGGGAACGGTCAGGCTGAGGCTGCTGAAAATTCAGCCACTGAGCCGGCTGCGAAAGAAATTGGGCCAGAGGCACCAGTTTTGGCCGTTCCGGGACCAAAAGCAAATACTGAGCTAAATACATCACTGACAGAGGGTACGAACGGTAATAAAGGATCAGAAATTGGCACGAGACAACCCGCCGATCAAACAGATAATAAAGTCGAAGTTGTTACTGAGACAACCGAGTCGATCGCTGCAACAGTCTCACCGGAGAACACCAAGAATCCTGAAGCTAATGGAAAAGGCGCTAATTTATTGCCTCCTGCATCAAAGGATAAACAGGGGAAAGGTAATTCAGGGTCGTCAGGTTTGGGGTCCTCTGCGGGCTCGGGAAAAAGTGCCGTAGAGGGAGATTCCACCGTTACGGAACCGCAGTCAAATAACGTGCCCAATACGATACAGACAGAAGTTAATAATGGCACTACAGGACCACGAAGTGGCACAAGTTCTTCCGCTGACCAAACAGATAATAACGCCAAAGATGTTTCCGCAACAACCACGACCACAACAAAGGCACCAACAATGACCACCACCACTACAACACATGCACCAAGTACTACGACTACAACAGAGGCGCCAACCACGACGACCACCCGTGCACCATCACGTCTTCGCGAAATCGACGGCAGCCTCAGCAGCTCTGCGTGGGTGTGTGCCCCGCTGGCTCTCGCCGCATCCGCGCTGGCGTACACCACTGTGGGCTGAAGAGGTGTGTGCGGACTGTGCGTGCCAGCACTCAACCGCGGGGTTTGTGCGCGTGTGTTTTGGTCCGATGTACTAAATAAGAGAAAATAATGATTGTGTTTTGCTTTACTTGCTTCTGCTGCCGTGCTGTGTGCTCCGCGTTGTGTCCCGCATCCGTCACGTTGAACGCATCGCGGATACACTCATAAGCATGCGCACTGGAGCCCTGGGTTTGTTTTTCTTTTTTTAATTTCTGTTTTTTAATTATTGTTTTTTATTGCTTTTTAAACTTGTGGTTTGCGGTGCGGTGTGCGAGCTCTGCAATCGTACTGATTCCATCTGTCTCGTGGTGTGTGCGCTGCTGCTGCTGGGGTGCTGCCATTTGTTGCTGTGCGGTGGTGTAGCGGCCGTGTCTATCTTTTTGCTTCCCTCTCTGTTGACGGGGAGTTAGTTTGTGCTGAAGGCTACACGCAAGTGACAGGAGTGATGGCGATGATGACTGGCCGTGTGCTGCTGGTGTTTGTCCTCTGCGTGCTGTGGTGCGTGTTTTCTTCGGTGTCGGCCGATGCCGGGGATGATTGTGAGGATTCCGGTCAAGCTGTTGTTGGGAGTGTTGGTCAAACTTCTTCCCCAGTTGGGGGTCATGGTGATAATGGAGTTGTCACTGATGGAAGTTCTCTGAGCAGTGGAAGTCACTTGCCGGGTTCTGCTCCTACGGGTGGCAAACCCCCACTTCCCGGTGTTGGTGTGGGTGTGGGTTTAAATGAATCTAAGGATGCCTTAACTCTTGCAAAAGAGGGGCGTGAAGTCGTACAGGATCAGCATGAATTATTGCCTCATGTTTCGCATCACACTGATGCGGGAACAGGAGGGAAAAGCGATCCCAATGCGCCAGAACAGTCGCCCAACGCAAAAACAGAATTAGAAGATGGTGGTGGTGTTTGTGGTGATGATGCTGCAGCTGCGGAGGGTGAAGTAAAAACCACCGTGAATGAAGGACAATTGGGCGGATCTTCCACGAGCGACAGCCATCCACCAGCAGCAGACCGAGGGTCGAGGGAGCAGGAAGGCACAGTGGAACAAGCAGCATCAACAGCGGCATTGACGCCAGTGGTGGGGCGAGAAACACCACCTAAGGGGGACACAGAAGAGGACTCACCGGAGGATAACGCCGCAACTGGCGCAGGTATCACACAAGATATACCAGCTGTCAGTCAGCAACAAACACATTCTTCATCCACCCCTACAACTGGAAATGGTCTGACTTCCACTCTAGGAAAGGGGCGCGCTGCGGAGGAAATTTCCAGCAATAACGAACGATCCGGTAAAGCACTACTGCAAGAAGGAGCTCAACATGAAACTGTTGCTGGCAGCCAATCGCAAACAATACCAGCAGCCACCGCCCGTAACACACTTGGCACAACCCTTCCTGGCGACAGCGACAACAGCACCACGATAACTACAGCCGTGCGGTCTGACACTGGCACAGAAGGCACTCCAACCAGCAATCATCCGAACCGAAAATCCATTGAAGGCGCCACATCACCCGGCATGAATTTCGATGGTGAAGCTGCATCAACCAAAAAATATGATACGGTATCTCAGAGTGCGGGATCCTCAACAGCGCCAACCACAAACAACAAAACACGTGACACAGCTTCTCATGGCGACCGTGACAGCAGCAACGCGGTCTCCCACACCACCTCCCCTCTTTTGCTTCTTCTTCTTGTTGCGTGTGCGGCTGCGGCTGCGGTGGTGGCCGCGTGAGAGTGAGTGAGAGAGCGCCATGCACCGCCCGCACACACACTCGTCCTTCCCTCTCTGTGTGTGTCCCTTGCATGGACTCTCGCCCTCACCTCATCCCACGAGGCACACACATAATGTGCCCATTGTATATATTGCATGTACACCCATGCAGGCCCGTTGGTGCTCTCTTTTGCACGACACGCACCGCTGCCGTCCTGCCTGGCTGCATGGGCGGAGCACCGTAACTGTTTCTGTTTTGTTTTTATTGCACTGAGTGGGCGAATTTACTCTCTCTCCCGGCTGTACCTTACGGGAGCCATGAGAGTGTGTGCGCTGCTCGTTCCACGCTTCTTGTTTTATTATTATTTTTTTACGTGTGGTTTGGTTGAGTGCATCCATTCCGCGGGCTGCGTGTGTGTGTTTGTGTGTGATGATATGAGTAATTTGTGTGTGTGCCATCCGCTTCTCTCTGCCGTTGCTTTCTTTGGACTCTCTTGTGCCGCACAGCTGCTCTGCAATTATAGGCGCTGAAACACACACACACACACACACACACACACCATGCTGAACATGCTGTGGATTGGTGTCAACGCTGAGAATGAACGCACGCACGAACACGATTCTGGCTGCTGCGGCCGTTGAGATGGGGGATGAAGGGAGCCTGCAACGCTTCTCTTTGTCGTGCTGCGGGCGTGGGATGTTGGCGGCGTGCAACAGTTGACTAATGTGGTTTTTCATTGAGGGTGGCTGGGACGAGTGCGGAGCGATTCCCGCCGAGCAGCTGCAGGTGCCGACGTGCCTCTTCCGCTGTGTATTTGATGGCGGGAGATTCTCCGGCTGTGCGAGGTGATGTGCGCCGGCGGCGGAGCGGGTGTGATGGAGGAGACAACGGTGAAATGGCTGGCGGTAGTGCGTGGGTGCTGCGGAGGGCGGCTGTGGTCTTTTTCCACCCGCTGGTTATTTTATGTGTGGGCGTCGTTCGGTGTGTGCTGACGCGTGGCAGAAGCGCCCGCCGTGGCTCCTGCTGGTGGTGTGACCGTCGCTGTGTGTTCCCGGTGCAGTCATCTTCCTTCTGCTGTTCCTTGTGTCTGTGTGCGTGAGTTGTTGTTGTTGGGAGTGACTGCGGCGGGGATGATGGTGATGCCACTCACAGTGTGGATGGGTGGCGGTGCTCGCTGTCCCACCTCTTTGCTTGGCTTGTTTTCTCTTCTCTCTCCGCCTCACGCACACACACGCTAGGAAGGAAGTTACGACTAAACGCTAATCGCCACTGTGAAATTCGAAGGCACTGAAAGGACCAACAACACACACACCGCCCACACACACATATTTCTATGCTCTCACGTGTTGCTGCAGTGAAGGCACCCCGCACACACAACCGTTGCCTTAACACCGGATCGAGCGGAAGGAGGAGGGAAGGAAGAGAGAGTGAGCGGCAGAGGCCCAACATTTCCCGGCATCTCTTCTGTCCTGCGGTGCCGCTCCTCCTCGTTGTGATGTGGATGTGCTGCAACACTTGTGGTCCCGCAGCCGCTGAGGACAGCAATTCAGGGGATGTGCGGCTGCCGCAACGGGTCGGTCTCCTTTTGCCGCAGAAGACGTCGGTGCTGCCGAAAGAGGGGGCGGGTCCGGGTGATGTAAGGGATGCATTTGTCTCACCCTCTATTGTCAGTGCTGGAGGAGTAATTGTTGCTCTTGCTGAGGGTCGGAAGTGGCATAGTGCTCCGCAGCATCCAGCCGCCAAAACCCTTGCGATTGATATTGTTGCGGGGTACCTCAACGCTACGGAGCCGTGGCCGTCCATGGTCGCCTATATCACCTCCAGTAAGTGGAATGCACACACCGTCTTTGACAGAGAAACCCCAAAGGATGGGTTGGGCATGGCGATTCTACCCACGTCACTTTCCAAGGGCAACGAGCTGTTCCTTCTTGTGGGAAGCTCTTACTTTGTTTTTGATGCTACTACGCAGCATTGGGTTGAAGGTGGAGGGGACATCCATTTGGTTAAGGGTGAGGTCACGCCGTCCACGGAAGACGAGCCGAGTAAACGGGTCCGATGGGGCAGACCTCAATCGCTGTTGGGGCTGATCACCGAACGTACCAAACAACTTGGCCTGCACCACGTTTCCGGTGCTGGTGGCTCAGGCATTGTGCTTGAGAGGGTCTGGTTTGTGTTTCCCCTGACGGCGTTAAAAGGCGAAGAAAAAACCGTCTTTACTATTTATTCAGTGAATGGCGGCAGCAGCTGGGACGTCGGCACAGGCACGCCTCCTGGGTACTGCATGGACCCTCTTATTGCCGAATGGGAGGAAAAACTTCTCATTGTTGTTTCTTGTACGGGTGGCCGCAAAGTGTTTCAGGCGGGTGACATGTGGGACACATGGACGGAGACTCCCGGGGTACTGTCACGCTTGTGGACCAGCGAGCCAAACCCTCGGGGGCTAAATTTTGCGTTGGGAGATCTCCTCACTCTGAACTTTGGCATAAGGAGTCTCATGCTGTACACTCAGAAAGGGTTTCCCCAGGGGAAGGCAAAGCCAATGCGCTCTACCTTTGGATCACGGATAATAGCCGCGCGCGTCTTGTTGGCCCAATTTCTATGGATGATGATGGGGAGAGGACGGTTGCGAACAGACTGCTGCACTCAAATAATATGCTGTACCTTCTGCATGAGAGAAGAGCTCAAAGTACCGATGGCATTTTTCTTTCCCCACTGAAGGAGGAGCTCGACACAATTATGTCCGTCGCGAATAGTTGGGCAATGATGGACATTTTCTTTTCCGGGTTGTCTATACCCACGGATGGGCTGGTTGCTTCTTTGTCCGATTTAGCCACTCCTGACACGTGGATCGACATGTACCACTGCGTGAATGCAACGGTGACAAATGCCGAGATGACCCCACATGGCTTTAGGTTTACGGGGCCTGGGTCCAAGGCGGTCTGGCCCGTGAACAGGGGGGAATTGAACAGGCAGTACACCTTTGTGGATTACAACTTCTCCCTTGTGGCGACGGCGGTCATCGAGAGGGTGCCCGCGGGCAGCGTCCCTCTGCTGGGTGTGAAATTGGAGCATTCTAATCGCAGGGGGTTCATTGGGCTGTCTTGCACCGCGGAGGGGAAGTGGGAGGTGTCGTTAGACGGCAATACAACGAGATCGAGCAGCAATTGGGAGCCGGGGAGAGAATACCAGGTGGCGATCATGCTGCGGGACAACAGAGGCTCCGTGTACGTGGATGGCGTTGTGGTGGCGAGCTCCGAGACGATGCCAACTCTTG